CTTATGATTCAGAGGACTTAAGCTTTAAGGGAAAAGAAACAAATGGAACAGGAAAGATTAATATATCTGGCTGCCCAATCCTCGAAACTATTGTATGTCAAAAATATAATATTAAAAAGTAAGCGTCACACAAACCCCCAAAAATCGGTATCAAACTGATTTACATAAGTTATTTTTCTTCTACAACAGAAAGATAAAAAACTCCAATAGAAAAAATAAATATTGACATACTCTTTGCTCTGTATAAACTACTCCAAATCCCCAGTTTAGGAATCCACTCGATGGATATTTTTCAATACTTCAACATGTGACTGATTATGTAAGACACTTTGGAGCTTCTAAAGTTCTAGATTTGAGGTACAGCATTCCTGACATCCTTAAAGGAAAAGAACTATTTGAAGCATAAAATAACAGAAGTATTTGAAATATTAGGTTCCGATGACATCAATTCAATCATTCACACACATTAATGCAAATCTATTACTATCCATTTTAATTAAAAATAAAGCATAATTCTAGTGTATATTCTTATACTACTCTAATGACTTTACAAGCTATACTAAAATGAGGTACCTCAGAACAGCCACTGGGAAAGGGGGCTAGCTGTGGGGACTGTAGCTACAGCTCTGCACTGATCAGTGTTCCACCCTCGCAACATACAAATAGTTTCAGTTTCACTTGTTATCAGTTGTATCTGGTTCTTATATAGTTGGAATGGTCCAATTTATTTTCAGACTTTCTTTTTAAAACTAAAAAGTAACTGTTAACAATCCACATCAAATCTCTGTCCTGATCTCAAAGACAAGAAAAATCCAGTTAAAACAAATATACTGCTATCTATAACNATTCCATACACATATTTTAAAATAAAAACATGAATCACTGTTATATAAATGTCAAGTTTAATAGACTCTTTCACATCATGACATTCTTGGTAGAAAATAAATAAAAAGATTACTAAGTAATAAAGGGTTAGGAATTATGAGCTCCTGAAAGAAATCCAACAGTGAAAGAATAATGCAATACAAATGACTGTATTTTATCACTGAGTTCAAACACGCAAAGATTTTGTTGTTGTTGGGTTTTTTGTTGGTTGGTTGGTTGGTTTTCTTTCATTTTCAGAAGTGGGAGAAGGCCAAGATGTTAGGTCAAGATTAAGAAATCAATGTAAACAAACGTTTAAAGTTCCAGAAAGAAAGGTAGTTAAATGTCACTGAGAAAAAGATGAATCACAAGGAAAAAAGACTAACTTGACAAATGCTGCAATTATGCATGAGTTACAGCGCATGTCTAGTAAACTATGTATGCATTCTCATCCTCCAAAAAAATTTGTCCTACAAAAGTTGTTAACCAGTTAGACAATTAAACCAATTATACCTCTACTGCAACTAGAGCTGAGCTGTATCTCACAGAAGTGAAGAGATTTTGAGTCTGACAAACACGGATTTAAATTTCTGTTCCCCTAATGACTATTTAATCTTAACATCGCTTAGCTTCTCTGAAGATGGTTCTTCGTTTAATAACAACATTTATTCCATAAGCTATGAGAAAGACCAAAAGACAATATATGTAAAAAGCTTAGCACAGTGCCTTGCACGAGGTAACCATTTAAAAAACATAGCTATAATTATTAAAATAAAAAATAAATATTTCGCTGACCTTATGATTCAGAGGACTTAAGCTTTAAGGGAAAAGAAACAAATGGAACAGGAAAGATTAANTAACAACATATCTAAAACTTTCCAGTGAAATTTTACATATATGATTATGTGGAAAACCCCTGGGTTTTCCTTATCTTCAGAAAAATACTACCAAAATTTCAGTTAAAGTAAATATCACATTTTGTAATACTTTTGGAATAATTTCTTTATTCCTTTGCCTAAGGCAACACAGATACTGCTACTGTATTAATACTGAAGAGAATGAAATATTGTGGAACCTGTTTATAGTATAAGGTTGGAGACAGAAATAAAAACAAGTTGTTAACTTTCTTATACCTTTTTTTATATGATACGCACGTGGAATAATAGGTTTTGGTTAGGAATATATTTTAAATACTAATTTACTCAAAGATTGGGAGGAAAGATAATCTACCTCTGACTAAATGGAAATTTTGATTATCTATATTATATAATTACCAATTTTTCAAAAATGAGAATAATTATAATCAAAATCAAAACAGAATATAAATTATTTTGTAAGTACTTCAAAATCTTATATAGAAGCTAGCCCTTGAGTTATAAAAATGCATTTTCATTATTCAGTATTGATAAGTAAAGATAATGTCAAAAAGTGAAATTTATCTGTAATAATCCTAAAACAACATACTATTCAAGTTGGTTTTAGAGTAAATCCTTGACAAGTTTGTTTACATACAACTTTTATTTCCTAGTAAACATACACAAAATGATAACATATGGAACTTGCTGTTTGTTCAGATTCCAAATAGATGGGACTTTCTGTAATAAATTTTATAATATGACTTTTGAATATATTACCCTGAATAACTATGTATTAAAAATAAATTCAAATGTTAACAAAATTGAAAATGGAAAAACTAAATTTAATAAAAGAAAAGGGAAATATACTACAAGCAGGGAAAGCTCAAAAAGTCATCAAACAAAAATCATTTAGTTGGTGAATGGGCCACTAACGTTGTTTTGATTAAAAAAAATGTTTTAAATGACCTACGTATATCAGCTAAGGCATCCAATCCCTTTACAACCACCACCCCACACAGACACAGAAAGCAGCCAAGATATTCACTTGCAAAAAATGTCTAATAAAAATTTTTTTTTACCTGTAAATTGTTTTCTGTGACTCTGTTCCACCAAACCATATTGATGGGTACTCCTGATTTACACCTGTCAGCAAGGCAGCCAATGGGGTTCTTTGCTTTTCGTGCCTTGGATCCCATCGGAACTAGCCTCTCCTCCAGCATCCCCAGGCGATACTTCCTTGGCTAGGAAAAAGAAGGAAAGAAACCAGGCCACTCCTAACATCCCCCACACTAATCTAAACTAACACAACTAATATATAGAAGATACTAGGAATGGTGGAATAGGAAACAAATAAAACTTCTATGACACTCCCTCTAATGCCCTTATCACCACCCACCATCTCCCACCCCCACCCCACACCTCCAAAAGAACCCATAGTCCTAATAAGCTGAACAGTATTTTTACATATAACAACAGATGTTTTAGAGAAATACATTATAATCTGATTTTATAAGACTATTTAATGACTAGAAATTAATTTCTCAGCAAAGTAAATGCTTTACAAAATTTTTTCCACTGGCACTTACCTATTCTCATTGCAATTTGAAGAAATGGCTTCAAGGGCACAAAATACAAATTAGAAAACAAAAATTCTTCAAACTATGTATTTTTCACCTCATCTTGCTACCTGATTTCCTACTAAGAATTATTCCACTTAAAAGCAGCAGCTGATTACCAAGGACTGGATGTTTTTTAAAAATTCTATGCATGTTAGGCCGGAGTACAAGTCATTCAATCTTAAGTGGGCATTCAACCTAAAGTACTCAATGAAAACAAATAATTTCAGACTAAAACAACACACAAGTTTCACTGGTCTTTTAAATCTCATTAATTTGAAGAGATTGATATTGAACTGTCCAATGAAATAAATTCATTGCCTAACATTATAATAAAGTTAGTAAACCATCTTAATAGTGGTTAATAGGACTTTTATATGTGAAAATTAATGATAGTTTCCACCATCTTACTTCTCTTAATTACAGCAAATTTGCATTAAGTTGCATCTTAAAGGGAATTTGTATGTACAGTTTTTACTGAAACATGCTTGGGCAGGTATCTAATTTAAAACCTGAAATAACAAAATCTATATTTACTCATTGTTCTGTCATAAGGTATAATGACTACTGAAACAAATAGTTAAAATGAAGTTTCCTTTTTTTTTTTCCTTTTTGTCTTTTTTACTGACCGGTAACGGGATCCCAACACTTGGTGTTGTGCC